GACCCTGACCCAAATGACCTTTGACCTGTGACCTCTTTTCCGAGACCATGTTTGGCCGGAATCGCGATTTCGCGTATGTCGGCTCGCACTAGCCGCGTGTTTGCAAGCTTTTCGTGGTTTCAAACGTTCCAACATGTGATTTGATGTTACTCCCGTGTGTGTCAAGGTCACCTGAAGGTCAGGTCAGGTCATTGACCTTTGGTGACCTCGGGTGACCTCGGGTCACTTTTTCGAGTTTTACATGTTTCTAGGCTAGTTTTTGGAGCTGAATTCGAATTTAGCAACCATTTGAACATTTACGAAGTAGTTTTGGTGACTCCGTAACATGTTACGAAGCTGTCAGAGGCGGTTGACACGTACTACGAATACCCGTCACGACGCCTACTGGTTGACCTGACCTGACCTGACCCGACCTGGTCTAAATGCTTCAAGACATCATCTGTGATCAAAACTAACACGATATTCGTGATCAGCACCCCGAAAAACCCCTTAGCAGCCACACTTTACGACTTTCTAACAGGTCCCGATTTTCCCGACTTTGGGTCATTGACCTGACCTGGAAGGTCAACCAATGACCTAGGACCTTAAAATTGGGTATCATCGGCTTCCTCTCGTCACGGGCAACACGCTCGTTTTTTCCGCGAAGCTCTAGCTCGATCAGGGGCCAAACGGCAAGGGGGGGGGGTCCAACCGACCCCCCCCCCCTACACATTAGAAGCTGGCAAACGCCGCACACATGCGAGGGATAATTTCATAGATTCATACATAGGCGCGGGAACAGGGGGAGGGGGCAGTGGGGGAGGCTTGCCCCCACAACTCTGCGGCCGTGGGGGCGGTGCCCCACAACGTTTCATGAGGCCAGGAACCGTTGGGCAGCTTGTCCTCCCCAAATTAGGGGTTGTGGGTCGCAAAGGAAGATAGCATGTAAGTGAAAAATCCACCTATTTCACTGGCTCGGCAACTCATTTGGCAGACTAAAACCTTTGCTCCAGGTTGCCAAAGCGGTAGTTTCTTCACTCAGCTGAGACGGAGTACCTCACTTTTTGAAAATATTTTCGTGTTTTTTTTTGTTGTTGTTGAAAAGGCCAAGGTCTGAAAAATAAGTGGCCTAAAACCGGTGAGAAAACTAGATTTGGGGGTACCCTAGGTTGATTTCTATTATGGTTCAGCCCCCCCCCCCCCAGTCTGGAAGAAGTTCCCGCGCCACTGACTGCGTGCGAAGGTGGGCCGTGGGCTCACTGAGAATCCATTGTTAAAATACCGGTTGGTGTTCCGTGCAACAGCCGAGACGTCCATATTTCTACAGACGGATACAGTAAAAACGCAGTGGCGGCGGAAGGTATTCTAGGATAGGGGTGCAAACGATATTGAAGCGCCCCTTCCCGCTGGGCGCCCCTTACCATGCCGATGGCCGTCCCTGCACTGGAAAATCAGTTTCGCCCCTATACAGGCGCCCATAGAAGTTTGCAGAGTGCTATTCCTGGTCATAATCATCTCCCCAGTAAAAAAAAAAAACGCAAAATACGCCCTAGCACTAGCCCGCGCCGGGCCGGGGGGGGGGGTGTTTGAACACCCCCCCCCCCTGTGGTTTTTCGCAGATATCTCAAAAACGGCGGCGCGGAGCGCCGCCGTTTTTGGCACACCTGTTCGTGCATCTTTTCCACACATGTTGTAAAAATTTCAGACCCAGGTCGCCTTAGGTCAGGTCACCAGGTCACGCCAAGTGACCTCACCTCAGAAAAAATAAGAATGCTCGTCATAGCTACACCGATTGATCGATTGCCTTGAAAATTCCAGCGATTGATAAGAGCAACATTATCTATAAAATGTATATCTCGGAATTTTGATATCGGTGACCTAAGGTCAGGTCAATTTTGCGACCTCTCCATTTTAAGTCAATGGGAGAAAATTGAAAAGCGTCTGTTTTGCACGAACGCTATTCTAGACACTCTCAAACATCGAGATATAGATAAAATGGACACAATAAACCGGAAAATGGCAACTGTGACCCCTCGTTATGTCCCCGAGGTCATCTCAGGTCACGAACAGAATCTAACAGTTTTTCGCTAATAACTTCTGATAGAGACGTGCTAGAGCGCTGAAAACGCCTTAGATGTGTTCGGCTCGACGTTGCGGATCGACTGATATGCAACATGACCTTTTCCGGTCAGGTCATGACCTTGACCTGAGGTCAAATTTTCAAGTTGACCTTTCAAGGTCAAATTATAGTTCATTCGACGCGTCTCGACGAGAGGAACACGATGGTGGCAAAAGTAATGTCATGGCTCTCTTGAGTCAAAAGTTATTGCCGAAGAAACGTTTTTCGTAAAAACGGCTATTTTTTTAGTTTTTGCCCTCTGGAGGCTAAACCGTTGACCTGAGGTCAAATCTGAGAACATTACTCAGAAAAGTCTGTAAAAGGGCTATCGAATGCGCTTTTCCGCGGCGCTGTAGCTCTATTGGTTCCCGAGATAGCCGTTGGCAGTTTCCAAAATGTTGAAATAGTGAACATTTTACCTTTGGTGACCTCTGGTGACCTGACCTTTGACCTGACCCAAAAAATGACCGAAGTGTTTTCGTCCTTATTTTGGACGTTCTTTCGATTGCCGCTTACCGCGTGTCGCTACGTGGCCCAGGAGCCGAGTTAGAAGGGGGGGGTGTTCAGACACCCCCCCCCCCCCGGCCCGGCGCGGAATCTCAGAGCACCGGCCCGGCGCGGGCTAGGGGTGTAACCGCCCATACGGACAGTGCAATTTTACAGGCCCCAATCTCGGACCTCCCTTAACATTCATATGTTGTAAACGGCAAACCGCCCCCGATAAATGTTACACAAACTAATTTCCTCTCGCATATCGGCCATCAGGCGCCCCTTTTTGTCGCATGGAGCCTGCAACGCTATAAGCCCTCATATGTTCGTGTTGGCGTTCGGAGGCTATCGCCTTCAAAGACGTCTCCATAAATGTTTCTTTTTCGTCCCACACACAGGCGCCCCTCTTTCGCATGCAGGCGCCCCTCTTCCGCATGGCGCGCTTCTCGAGTAGCTGCGCCCTCCTAGCCTTTATCGCCTGGCAAGATTATATTCGACAGGGTCGGCAGCATCTGCCTTTGTTTCAGATAAGGATGCCCTCCACTCTTCAGCATATCAAGAGATACTTTCACGTCATTGCCACCCTCTTCGTGTCACAAGTGCCTTTATCAGTTGCGGTGTCGCCTCGCACTGCTCAGCTTTATGGCTGCCGCACCTCTTAACTTCCTGCCTCCTCTACAGATTTTCGAGGCGCCCCTTTCCATAGCTTTAGGGTGCAGCTGCCCCCCTTGCCCCCCTGCTTCCGCCGCCACTGTAAAAACGGAGCGCCTGCCGCCCTCTTATCACCATCGGGCCCGATTTCTCGATGGACACCGGCAGCGGGCCGATGCGTTGAACTCGGCGCACCGGCCGGCAGCTGCGCTACCCGCCACCGACGCGTCGCTACTCGCCACCGACTGTTGTGACGCTATCGCGCGTTTGTGTTGGCGACCCGTCGACGGTTTTTCTCCTGTGCTGAAAAATAGGACACTGAGCGAAAGTCAACACAACGTGCCACCAGCGCATCGATCCTAGTTGCGACGAGAGATGATGCGGATAAGGGGATGACAACGAGATTTCTGTGGTGGCGAAATGTGTAATTGTGTCTGGTTCAACGAGGTTTTTGACCTTATCATAAAAGTATGAACTATGAATGACGTCGTGAAACCTGATGAACAATGGTAGCCAATCAAGTACAATATGATTTATCATAGCCGCCAGTATTGACATTCATGGGTGGGCAGGAACTAGACACATACCTACACGGAAAAAATGCTGGAAAATGGGGACTTAAGAGAAAAAAAATTACATTATTCTCTCGTAATCCATAAGTTTCTATAACAAGGCCACAGACCAAAGTTGCTCTCAGAGTACCAATAGTGCATCTTCCAACTACCTTATTCCCTCCCCTGCCAAAAGGGTTACTGACCCCCGGGCCACCTCCACACACCCCTGCTCTCCCCGTCTGCCGAACGGGAGCCGTAGCGGGGTGACCCGTCTGTTTTTACGGCACCGCCGCCGCGCCAGTTGCTGTTTACGAGGGGATGTTACCGGAGGAAGAGGGGCGAGCGGGATGAGCGAGAGCAGAGGGGGACGCGGTCAGTGTCCGCTAGTCGCCGGTGGGGTGTAGCGTCGCCGTAAACAGACGACAAAAATACCGGTCGGCGAAACATTTTGTCGCGGTGTGGGCAAACGGCGCAGCAGACACAGTTGCACGGCATGGGCTGGCCCTGGGCAAGAGGCGGTTGCGAGTATGTATAGGCAATCTTTGATGGGCAATGAGCTACACGAAATCCGCTAAAAAACATAATGATTTCCATTTACGTTTCCCACCAAAGGAGTAGACTACAGAACCACCAAAAGAGTTAACTACAGAATGCAGTTGCTCTTTCACACAAACTATCCGGCGTCCCCCAAAATCTCACCCCCACTCCAGTTCCCCTTCCCTAGACGTCCAGACATGTTTGGTCTGCCCCGTCCAGACAGGATGCCCCGCGCCTGGATCTCTGTACAATCATGACAGCTGATGTCGAATCTCCCCAGCGGAAAGATAAAAAGGCTGAGATGGTTCCTTCACACAGCTAAGATTGACAGACAGCATGTGGGCCAGCGTGGCTCTCCAGTGAGGATTAATGTCGCCACGGTGATAAAAACGTGTCGGCGCGTGGGCAGAATGAACCAAGTGTCATGTTTGTCGGTCATTTCGGGCACGGCGGCGCCAGACACTGCGCTTTCCAGCTGTCAGCGGTGATGGGTGATGACTTCAGTTCCGCTGATACGGTGGGAATGTGTGGATCAGTGAGGGGGGGGGATGCCTAAAGATGACGAGATTGACGAGTAGTACACGCGTAGTCATAAGCGATTTGTTGAAAATACCGGATTGTTACGTTCGCAGACCATAATGAGAACATTGACAAACTTCCAGAACGTCAGGCCTCCAAAACCCCGTTTAGAAACACATAAAAAAGAAAGCACACTTGCGTCATCCTGCTTCGGCTTTCATTTCGTAACTCTAACGGATCCTTTGATAGTTCAGTTTCTCTGGGAGTTACGAACGCAACTGGATGCCTACGGACGGAGCGGAGATGACATTTGTCAACGACTCATTCATGCCCCTGCTCAGCCATGTCCGCTCAGTCGCACATCAACCCTCTGCGTCATTTTCAGTTGTTGGAAATAACTAGAAGCACTGATTGAGTGCAAAATTAATCACAAGAGGGATCACAACCACTAAAAAAACCGGCTACGTTAGTTGTAATGTGTGAACCAAAATAAAATAGACATACATTACCTACATATGCACGCAAAATATATTCAATACATTTTGCAAAACGGCACATTATAGCCGTGCCAAAATGATTTCACGTTCAAAAATATTAGCAGTAACTCACATAAAACGTTTCAGGTGCAAAATGGCTCTGCAAAAGTCATGCAACACACATTCCTAAACGGACGCAGTGGCGCAAAGCCGAAATAGTTTTTGGGACCACCTCAAGTCCACTCATGACTCAACATATGCATGGACGCCTCAATAGGCTAACAACACCAAACCCCTAAAATAAGGCACACACGTCAGCTATCCTCGATAAGGAAGTCTTGTATCTCTTTCCTCATATTCTCCCTGCGGGCCCGAGCGGCCACCTCCCCCGTCACAAAGGCCGGCATGTTATCCACCTCCTTCATGTCCTTCATCACCAGCTGGCAGCCGTAACACAGCCTCTCCAGCAACTCCTTCCGCGACGGCTTCCTAGAGACAGTCTGCGTCGTTCCGCACCCCTCCCCGCCGCCCCCGCAGCAGCCACCGCCCGACTCCACACAGCGGGGAGTATCCGTACTACAGCTTCCATTCTTCGCCGCAGGTGGCAGCCCAGTCGCCCTATCGTCCCCTGCTGCCGTGTCGGCCGAGTGCTGGTCATACTGAAACCGGTCCGGTCCCGAAGAGGACACCATCTGAGAGAAGCGCGTGGCCTGGAGGGCGGACGCTGCTCCTCCGCTGGTGTCCAGAGGAAGGCGGCAGAGGGCACAGTTCTCCGACATCGCGCCCACCGCTGAGAGCTTCGTACCCGTTCGGTAAACGGTGGAAACAGTAGCCGGAAAGCTCGCCTGCAGACCAAGCACAAACTCCTCAGTAGCACGGCCGATGCTGGCACTCGCCGGTGCCATTGTGTCCGGTCCAACCCCTGGCACGTACTGTACGCGGCAGTGGTGGGCGAAGAGAGCTACCTGTTTAGATGAGAGCTCTCGAAGTGGACGCAGCACCAGCAGTCGCTCGCCGTGCCGCCTGTCGGCCAGAGCTGTCTGCTGGTGCGCGTGCGCGCCTCGGCCACCGGCCAGCCCGGAGAGGAGTGAGACGGCCAGCCGGGTTTCTGTGTCGGCCAGCAGCAAGAGACGGATACCCAGCTGGAGGGCAGCCCGCGCCAGCAGCTCGGACCGCAGCCGCTCCAGCAGCTGTTCACGGGCCGTGCCTGAGCCAGCTGCTGACCACAGCTGCTGCAGCTGCACGCGGAGCTCCGCCAGACGAGTTTCGTCCGGCAACGCAGTAACTTCAGACGAAACAGAATCACAGCTAGCTGCCTCAGGAGGCGCCTGCAGAGACTCCGCGTCGCCACCGCCATCTGGTGACTCTCCCTTTAACTTACACTTCACCCGCTCCACCACAGGAGCGCCACTGTCGCCCATGACCGCCTCCAGCTTCGCTCGATACACCGGCACTCTGTATGTTCCGGCCAGCCTCTCCATCTCCTTCACATCCTGTTCAGGAACCACAGCACTCTCATCCACCATCAGCAGACCAGGCCGCAGCCTGAGTCGCTTGCTGTCCGTCTGACTGGCACCGTCACTAACCAGACGCGCTAGAACGCTAGAAGCTACTCCGCCTGAGAAAGCCACCAGGGCAGGCTCGTCAGGCCTCAACAGGCGCGACTTACCCAGCGTGGAGCGGAACTTGTGCGTGAAGGCGGCAACGAAGCAGTCGCGGCAGTAGATGTCGTTCACGCGGAGCAGGAGAACGGCCGGCGCCGAGCGACATTTCTGACAGAGCGTGGGGCCGGTGTCGGAGAGAGCCTGCGCCTTCAGATGTTGGGCCTCCTCACGGGCGCGAAGGTCGGCCAAGTCACCCTCCTCAATGCTGCACATTGTTTGAACTATAAGTACTCTGTGGAGAAGAGAGGAGATCTCAGTGAATTGGCTCATGTGTCCGGTCAAGTTCATTGCGTTAAAAAATCTGATATACATTATTAACAAGAACAAAGTGGGTAAGTGTTGGTAAGGTGATGTCAATAATGATATCTAATCAGATAGTGGGATGTTGATAGAGGTGGGCCTAAATGGTTCCATAGAATCTCCAAATGCAAAAAAGGCAAAGAAGTAGAGACTATAGCTTGGAGAAAAGAACAGATTCTTGAAATTTCAAGAACGCTCAAGTTTCTCTTCCTTATAAATAACTTTGCAATGGAAGCAAAATTTTACTAAAAATATTTCATGCTTCTATCTATGTGAATTGTGAAGTAAACAAAAATACCCAATTAGTTTTTGACATTGTAGGAGGAAAAATATAACAAATTCCCAGTACACTGATTACTGTCACATTCCACATGCCAACGCAACACAAACTTAAAGCTTTTGACTTTTGTGGTTTCCTTGAGAAAGGAAAATTGAATATTTTAAGCAATAAAAAAATTGATTTGAAGTTTGAACTACAGAGAAACATATAAGTAAAATCTAATCTTTATCTTTTTCATTGGAGAAGCATTTCAGGAAGGCCCAACCAGACTGCCCAGTGTGGCACCAGTCAGCAAGCCATACCAACCCACACAGTCACATTAGCCAGCCTGAATGTCCCACAAAGCCAAACCAAACAAGAAATAAGGTTTCTAAAAGAAAACGCAGATAGTTGTACCTTGAGTATTAAAATCTGCGGTATTATTACAGAATGAGTCCGATCAGGAAGGTATATAAGTCATGCCACATGATACATTTTAACCCCCTGAGCTCATATCTGATAATTATTCATGGTGTAACCAAGTGCAATACACAGGTCAAGGTGCAATATTTACCGTTTTTGAAGCCATTCTTGACCTCAGACTTCAGAGAACAAGTAATGTGTAAATTGTATAAATCGGGGCCAGTAGCATTGCATATGATATACCTACGTAGTTATCTATATTATAATTTATAATGTAGGTACATATTTTGAGATACCTAGGCAGGGGTAGTATTTCACCTGAATACCACCAGGATCATCATCATGGGTGGCCAATGTGACCTAAGATTTAGTAACATCTTAATTCTTACACCCCCACTTACACTGTTATCGTGTGTTACCTTACCCCCAAGATATATAAACTCACAAGCCTCACAAGCAAGGCTATTTATATACACTGTGAGCAAGGCCATATATCTCACAAGTGTCTATAAATTTATAAACTTACCCCTGTCCCCCTGTCGCAACGGGGGGCTATTAAAGCATCCAAGAGCGCAGCATCCAAAATACGCAACAACCAAAACCGCAGCATCCAGTGATCAAAACCTCCAAATAACATCCAAAATCGGCCCTTTTGGGAGCATTCAGAGCATCCAAGAGCGAAACATCCAAGGATGCAGAATCCAAAACCGTATCATCCAAAATGGCAGCACGAGAATATCTGAGAATCGTATCATCCAAAGACGGTTCATCCAAGAGCGAAACATACAAGCATGCAACATCCAGAATCGTATCATCCAAAACAATACAGAAAAGATGGATCCACTCAAGAGACTCAGAAGCGCCACCTGGCATATTTGTTATAAACTATTAGTTTTAGGCTCGCTTGACAGGTGGCGAATGCGTCGTGTTTAGCGGCACATCTTCACGATGTGACGTCACTAGGTAATATGACGCCACTAGGTATTATACAGTGGATCCCGCTTATATTTATTAACAACCAGAGCCGACTGCCGGTGGCTGCTCTGTGCTCCCGCCGCCGCCGCCGCCGCCGCCACTCTGTCTCCCGCCAAATAGCAAGAAAGCGCGGGAACCAAAAGCGCGCCAAATCGGCGCGCCGCGTGCTAGCTCTTCGCTCGCTAGGTGCAGCTGCACTCGGCGCCGGCTGCGCGCCGCGTGGCAACTCGTTGTTCGGCCGGTACAGATGCACTTAAAGGGACCCTCCCACCTTAACCCGCGCACCGACGGGGGTCTGCGCCAACTTAGTACCGACGGGGGGGGGGGGCGGATGAACGCCCACCCTGAGATCTCGAGAACGAAGCAAGATAGCGACAAGCGGTAAACGGCATCGGATACGCACGGACAAGGTCTACAATTTTTACAAAGGTCATTTTCAGGTCAGGTCAAAGATGACGTCACAGGGGTCGAAAAAGTCAAAATGGTGGCGCTAGATATGGAGAGGGTTTTTCTCGAATAACTTTCGAAGTAGTCAAGATAGGAACAAACTAAGGGCATCATCGTGATCCTCTCGTCAATCCGCATCGAATGATATGTATGTTGACCTCGAAAGGTCAAGGTCAAAGGTTGACCTCAGGTCACGTGACCTCGAGGTCATCATGTATATCGTTCGATGCGTCTTGACGAGCTGAACACAATGAGACCATCCGCGCGGCTGTATCTTGTTCCTGTAAGGAGTTATTGGCAAAAAACCTTTGGTGACCTTTGATGACGTCACATGACCTTACAGCTGCCCAACAGCAAAACAGACCTCAAGGTAGTGAAGGTTGATCGTATGTGAAGTCATGTATGGTATATGGGGCCATTCCGACCCGTTTTAGTGGTAAAAACAGGGAGTTGATTTTTCCCCCATTGACTTATAATGGGGAGGTCGCGAAATTGACCTGACCTTAGGTCACCGACATCAAAATTCCGAGATATACAAATTGTAGCTACTAATGACCTAATAACATCCTGCGACTTTCAAAGGCCTCCGACATCTACTGTAGCTCTGGCACGGTGACAAAGTTGCAAAAAAGTGACTTGAGGTTGGGTCATTCAAAGTGACCTGGTGACCTGACCTTAAAAGTTAGGAGGTTCAAACTTGCACACCATGTGTAAAATTGATGAGAGAATAGTCATACCAAATTTCGCGGCGCTACGCGCCGCGGTTTTCCCGCTATCCGCGAAAAACCTCAGGGGGGGGGGCGGATATCCGCCCCCCCCGTCGGTGCGCGGGTTAACATTAGTTTTGAGTTGAGATAGCCAAATTGGTGGCCATGGCCTGAAAATACCGGTTTGGGCATTCACAACATCGAAAAATGCTTTAATTCGGAGATATGGAATTTCAAACTTGCAGTTTTCGGATTCTAAGGGGCTAATGCATTGGTATGCCCCCTTAGAATTTGTGACGTCAGCGGAGATCTAACGATTTTTATATCTTTTACTAAAACGTTTGGCAGCACGCGGTGGTATATGCTGCTTTGCGCGCAACAAATGCCGCACTTTCAAATAAAGTCGCTAGGAACAGCGGAGATCCCAAAAAGTAAACAAAAGTAAAAGTCTAATATCTTGAAAACCGGTTAATATTTTTCGATGAAATTTGGTAGATATTCATTTTTGCTCTTTCTGAACCGAGCGACATCACTTCCATGCCAATTCATTAACTTTTTTGAAGGTGGGAGGGTCCCTTTAACAAAGCAATGAATTGCGGACAGAGCTGTTAGCTGTTGGCGCCTGGTGGCATTACCGAAAGGTTAGGAGGTCGATGGTATTTGGTTTGATGGATAACTTTACTAGAAGTTATTCGTTGAGGCTGCAGGCAGGGGCGTCGCCACGGATTTTTGACTGGGGGGGGGGACGATCGACAGAGGTGAAATCTAAAAAAAACATAAACAACACGGCCAGGCAACCGTGTTTGGGACAACACGGCCAGTTAACTTATCAAGCTAACAGGGTATCAACATTTTATGCATCACGCAAGGTATGTCATAAAAATAAAAAAGAGCTTATTATGCCGGGCTTCCCCCGGCTTCCTCCGCTGTAGGGTAAGCGTGTTTCTTTTTTCCAACCAAAGGAAGGCGCTATACCCGAAGATGCTTCTTGGTAAACAAACCAAACAAAACAAACATAACCTAACCTCACCTGACCTAACCTACAACCTACAAACCTACAACCTACAACCTAACCTACAACCTAACCTACAGACCTACCTACAACCTACAAACCTACAACCTACAAACCTACAACCTAACCTACAACGCGCCAAAAAGTTCGGCCGGCGGCGGGGATCGAACCCAGGGACGTAGCCAAGGGGGGGGGGCGGAGGGGGCGCCCGCCCCTCCCTTGGGGTTTTCAGGAGGCCCCCCGAAAGGATTCAGGCCAACGTGGGCCGAAGGCCCACGTTGGCCTGAATCCTTTCGGCCTGAATCCAACGTGGGCCGAAGGCCCACGTTGGCCAAAATCACGTCGGAGGCGAACGAAATTCACGCGGGAATCTAAAAAATGACGTCAGAACAATCAGGGCCCTCTGACCAGCCTGACAAGTGACAGCTAGGGCCCTTCTCATCTCCTGTGAATAACCACTAGTGTCTGTGTCTGACCGCTAGGGCCCCTCTGACTCCTCAGTAGACAGGAGGCCCTCTGTGGGTAGGAGGCCCTCTGTAGAGAGGAGGCCCCCTTAGAGAGGAGACCCCCTGTAGAGAGGAGGCCCTCTGCAAAAAGGAGGCCCTCTGTAAAAAAGAGGCCCTCTGTAAAAAGGAGGCCCTCTGTAAAAAAGGAGGCCCTCTGTAGAGAGCAGGCCCTCCGTAAAGAAGAAACCGTCTGAAATCAGAAGGCCCTTTGAAGAGAGGAGGCCCTCTGTAGAGAGGAGATCGTCTGAAGAGAGGAGGCCCTCTGTAGAGGAGGATTCCCTCAGTAGAAAGGAGGTCCTCTGTGGGAAGGAGGCCCTCTGTAGAGTGAAGGCCCTCTGAAGAGAGGAGGCCCTTTGCAGAGATGAGGTCCTCTGTATAGAGGAGGTCCTGTGTAGAGACGAGACTCTGAAGAGAGGAGGCCCTACATAGATAGGAAGCCCTCTGTAGAGAGGAGGTCCCTGTAGAGACTAGAGAGGAGGCCCTCTGTAGAGAGGATACCCTCTGTAAAGGAGGCCCTCTGGAGAGAGAGAGAGAGACACCCTCAGCAGAGAGGAGGCCCTCTGTAGATAAGAGGCAATCTGTAGAGAGGAAGCCCTCTGTAGATAAGAGGCCCTCTGTGGGCAGGAGGCCCCCGGTAGTCAAAGACAGCGTCGTATATTAAGTACATAGAGTGGAGGCCCACTGTGAGCAAATTACCTTCTGGCTTCTGGTCCCTGCTACTCTCTATAGAGAGTTATCAGTTCTCACTATAGTGAAAACTGAGAACTCAGGAAACTGTACAGAATAGACTCCCAACCGCGTCGCCGCCCACTGTAGGAAGGGACAGGGGAGGAGGTCCTCTGTAAACAGAAGGCCCTATTCTATGTAGACAAATTATTTGTATAAATGCGCTCAGAGAAATCATGCCGCGTGCCGTCAGCGGTTTTCCCGTCAACGGTTTTACCTGCAGTGGCCGCAAAAACTGCCAAAATGGCCGATATTTTCGGAAACCAGTTTTCGGCGATAACTTTCGTCTCAAAATTTGCACGAACTTCCCTTTACCAGCATCGTGTTCCTCTCGTCCAGACGTGTGGAATGAACTATGAATTGACCTTGAAAGGTCAACTTGAAAATTTGGCCTCAGGTCAAGGTCATGACCTGACCGATAAGGGCTAAGATCCATATCAGTCCATCCGTATCGTCGAGCCAAACACAACTAAGGTGTATTCATCGCTCTAGCATACCTCTATCAAAAGTTATTCGCGAAAAACAGTCAGATACCATTCGTGACCTGAGATGACCTCAGGGTTATAGAAAGGGTCACGGGTGCCATTTTCATGTTCAATGTGTCAAAGATACTAGTAATTCAGTGTTTTAGAGTGTTTATAATGACTTCCGTCTAAAAAGGCGACTTTCAATTTAAGGTCGCAAAATTGACCTGACCTTATGTCATCGATATCAAAATTCCAAGACATACATTTTTTGCATTTTGTCGCTCTTGTGCATTTGCATCTCTGAAAGTTTCAAAGCGTTTGGTCACTCCGTGTACCTTTGGCAGACATTAAAACTTTTTATGTAGTGAGGTCATTTGACCTGACCTGGTGACCTGACCTTAAGTGACCAGGGTCTGAAATTTTCACAACATGTGTAGAAATGATGTAGAATAAAGTGTGCCGCGTCGCCGTTTTTTAGATATTCACGGAAAACTGCAGGGGGGTGTTTAACACCCCCCGGCAGGGCGCGGGTTAATGCATGAACACAGCAGCCCATTTCTGTAATATATACCTGTGGCTGTGTTGGTATTTTTACGATGGATGCAATTACCCAAACCATTTAATAGACCGTGGTGATATTCCCATAGCCATGCTTCGCACAACTCATAATAATTTATTTGACCGGGAACTTAATATACCTATACCTATCCATCGATTGTTTGTTTCATCTACGGCGTAAATGAAGCAAACCACCTGGACCTAGGAAAATTTACTAACGAAACCATGTGTTACTTACAGCAAGTAAACGTGGCATAATTCACACAGAAAGAATTGATAACCGTATAGTTTCAATCTTGCAGACGTCAGTAAGGTCAGAATCGTGACAAGCCTATTGGAAAATATAGGTAATGAACTGTGTCCTGCTTCGAGAAAACGAGTCAAA